GACTCTCGTACAGTTGGTGATTCTGAAAATGTAAATAATGCAGCTGAAGGCGTGAAAAGAACTAGAGTAGTAATCAGGGAAACCTATAAAAATTCTTATGCCATTAAAGAAAACCCCTTGAAAATACTATGTCATACAGCACCTACCTCATTAGAGTTGCTCATGACAGCGGTAGATGTGGAGTCACCAGCAGCTGGGTCCGAATTGAGATCATTAGACGGGTGTCGGGACGTGGCACGAACTCCTCCAGCCGTCTGTAACAGAATTGTACTTATTATGTTATCTGGGTCGCTACTCCAGAGAAACATCAATAAACTTCCGTACGTTTCTTTCTGGACTGAGAAGGAACTGCCCAGTAGTCTGTGGTACGTGTGGTACTTCTGGGAGATCACGAATACCAAGTGCTGCTCCAACAATAGCTGTCATATGGGTTTCCGGACCAAACACATGCACCGGTAACTCCAGCTTTTGTGCTGAAAATCAGGCAAAATTCCAGCGAATTTATGACATTTCCAGATTTAGCACCGACCTGCATCTTTGATTCTTCGAAGACCTTCTTGATAATTGGGACCACCACGGCGTACAAAAATTGTCACTTTATGTTCACGTATACGCTCAACAAACACTTCGAACGCTCGCACAATTCCCTGAAATGATGAGTATAGGATATCGCTCAAATCCGCGAAAAAAAGTAGATAAGTATTGATGACCTCGCCCAATATGATAGAAAACCGTTAAATTGGAGAAGTCAACCGGACATTATTTGATACTGCATAGCTGATATCATTATGAATTTTCGAGCACTGTAATCCAACAAATCCCCGTTTTCTAATACCACAAGGTACGAAAGAATATTACGTTCGGTCGAGTGGGGGAGGAGAGGTGGGGTGGGTGCATATTGCATTTGCAGGTTAATTTTGTCAGTTCACGCTAACTTACACACTTCCGTGAGACCTGTCAACTCTGGTGAAGCTGCTTAATGGCGCCACTAAGCCACTTCGGTTACAGGAATTTACAAGTCTCTATAACGTAGCCTTTACCAGCTTCGCAGGACTATCATTTAATGCCCCCACCAATCCTAATTGTAGGACTACACATTTTACATTGCCCTTAAAAGCTGTTATGTGAGTAAAAGAGGGAAGGTTTGAGCAAATAGCAATATGCGCAAAAATCGGCCAAATCACTTACTCCGAAAGTCTTGGCGACGTTTGTGAAGTTGGCAATCGATCCTCCAATGATTAGCACTTTGCCTTTTGGATGTGGTGGGCCTTCCGTCATCACCGACAGGAGAGTTTTTGCATATTCAAACGTTTGAGTTTCTGATGGATCACCAGAATATTCACCGTAATTCGCCAGTTCAGAGGCACCACCAAGATCACATACCGTATCACTGCAAGTGGACCTCTTAAGGAAATACGAAAACGAGAGAACAAAACAAATGTGTGATGGGAAGGGGATACTCACGTGAACACCACCGATGCTCCACCACCGGCAACCATTGTCCATATTCGTCCTTTTCTATTCAATATAGTTAGTTTCAGAGAAGCACCAGTTTTCGCATCTAGATCGGCTATATAACCGCTGCCCTAAATGAAGCGAGATTATCATAGCTGAGTGTGTGCGGCCATCTCAATAGTGTACTACGATCGCGCTTTGCACTGGCGAAGAAAAGTATCCGCGAAGCCGCGTTCATTCTTTGCATCTAGGAGGATCAAAAGACTTGGGGGGCGATGGTGGGAGATCTGCGCTATCGAAGGAAAGTACTGATTTAGCAACTGCAGAGATTGAGCGATCCTGCCATTTGGGAGACTTGGCGTTCCCGGCGATTGCGCCCCAAAGGCTGGATGGGTATCCATCGGAACCAGAACTAGCGGAAACATGAGCGATCGCGGCGGAGGTCAGAGTGGCGATCTGGCGTTATGCGAGATCGGCCGACTCACCAAATTTCCGCAGCTGCTAAAGACCGACGTCGATACCATCGACTTCCTCGACGGGCAATCGCCGGAAACGCCTAAGTACCCGAATCGCACTATCGCTCAATCTTCACGACCATCGGATCGATACCCACAATTTTCCTTGTCGCAAAATATCTCAAATAGCTGAATCCTTCAAATCGCCGAATTTCCTCAGTCGCTAAATATGAACGCGGCCTCGAGTTGAAGTTGAAAAACACTCGCATTTATTTTTTCTTGTGAGGTCTCTACCAAATGGGAGCAGGGAATTCCACGTTTGAACCGGATCGTGTCTTCCATTTGTCAGAACACAAAAAGTTAGCTGTTTCATCTAACTTAGCGGCAAGATCGAGTATATACACCTTGCCACCTTTCACAACTGAAACAAAGTTTTCACTGAAAAAGGTGAACATGCGAAATGAAAGTTCTGAAAACCTACCGAGAGGGTTAATTTCAAGGTAAGTGAAATGTAATTGTTTATAGGCAGAGTAAAGTGATGAGATAAACGTTCTGAGAACTCCTGAAAAGAGACTTTCCAAGAGCAAAGGGACCGTTGCACTGTATCGTGACTAACGCTGTTGTGTCATCAACCGAAAAATTTCGCTATTAGCTTGGGGCTGAGGCTTCGAGCTTCTGTTCGGCATCCTCAATTGTCATCCAACGAAACTTCAATTTTCACTGATCGCGCCTGAATTCAGCTCGGTAATTTTCTTGCAAAATAGGAAGTTCACATGGAATTTCAAAGTGTTGGGGGGGAGGGGGGGGGGGGGGGGAAAGGAGTTAACTCACTTTTAAAGTGCTCGTGGTGGCAAATCATTGACAGCGGGGCTTCATACAAAAGAATGTGATGGTTGAGTTGCCAGTGAAGCAAAAAAGAAGGGGACCTTCGCAAACCCATGAATAACCCCACTCATTCCCGAATGGTCAGAAGCACAGTGCGAGTATACGCCGAAGAGACACCAAGCTGTGCACAATAGAGAGACCAAGGAACAGAAGGATGCGCAGACGTACAAAACCGCACACTGTACAGCGACTAGAGGGTGAAAAGGGAGGAGAATGAGTTCGTGGCGAGGCTGACCACCACCGTGAAAGATCTCTGACCGGCATAACCTCTCGCCTTAGAGTAGCTGAAGCCACATATCAGTTGTATTGCGGACCTAGGAGGTTCTATGTGGACTGGATTTACAGCCCCATTTGAACAATCTGGCCCAATCTGGTGTCTCCAAGTGATGAACGGTTACCTTCTGATCAACATCTCCAATATCCACACCACCATGTTCATAGAACATAATGACATCATTGTTCCGTTGACTAAATATGGCAATGTATAGCTCGTCTGCTTCTGTGTGTGCAACAAATGGTTCCACGATAAATGTGTGAAGACGGCCAGTGGTCTTCCCAACCTGAAATAACCACATCAGATTGGGTTTAAACAAAAATGTAGAGCTTGCGGTGAGCTGTAACGCATTTCACGCAGAACATTCTCATTAGATAAAAACGATCGTTTACCTGAACAGAAGTATCTGACTTCTGTTGGTACCACTTTTTGATCTCGTCCACCGTCCCACACTTCACCAGACCATGCTTGCCCCTCCGTTTTATTAACTGATCTGGTTTTATCACGGCTTTCTAAAGAAAAAACATCTATGAGGACATGGATATGTGACAAAACAATCGTAAAATGCCGCACTGATGGGTGTGACGAGCGATGCGCGTCCGACAGACGAGCTGTCTTACCTGCCATTTCATTCTACGCTAAGGGACGGCAAATTCTGGTACCGCCGTCATAAAATAACTCCGCCTCATTTTGAATTGGCGCCTTTTATCGACAAACTCTTGCACATCGGGATTCCGCCGCACGGCACGTCGCGCGCGACGGCGTAACAAATTACGATTGTCTTGTCCACTTTCTCTACTGTACCTCCTAAGGGTATTCTGCTCGCTATAGAACATCTCGAAAGGTACCCTACCTGTGGTCCACCCAGCCATGTCACATCCTTAACAACTGAATCGAAATCATCGCCAGCCGTCAGACGAACGGCTGTGGGTGCGTCGATCAGACCACTGCATTCGAGATATCGATACAGTAGTTCTTTGCCCGAAAGCTCGCTGACCGCCTTTGCAGACATGCCTAATATATTTTCTTCATAAGAATGCTGAGAAATGAAGGGTGAGAATATTGTGAAGGTCACGTAATACTCGTACAGTAATGCAATATATTACACACGAAATAAATATGAAGATGGAAGAATGATGGTTCAAAGCAACCAGGCGATTTTGGGGAACGCATGTCAGGAGACTCGTGTGGCGGCCGTTCTGCGTTGCAATAGCGCACACGCGTCATTCAACACTAGTGTATTCAGAACACGATCCGCGTCGAAAAACTCGCGTTTTGTGAAATACTATCATACACTGACGACTACATAGTACAAGTAAAAGCTGCCCAATATGCCTCATGAAAAACCCCATGCGCTTTGTGTGGCGAAGAAAATCCGTGGTCGGACGAGTTCTCACATATTGGTGCCAGCTCTTTCTCCTTGTCACCATACAATCCTCCTTATGATTCGAAATGGAGGGAGTAAGTTGGCAGGACAACCGCACCCTCAGGTAGCCGTTAATAATGAAAGTTGGGCGTTGCTGTGGCCTGTGGGCGGAGCCCTGGTCCGGTCGCAAGCCAAAGAAAGCGTCTGAACATCAAATGAACGTGGTGCGTGCCTTTAAGTCCAAATGGATCCTTGATGAATGAAGGGAAATACTGAGAAATGAGTAGCTGGAGGCAGAAGGAGTGTTTATAAAACTGATGGCAGCAGAAGTTCACCCAGTACACAGTAACCTGAAAAAAGAAATCCAAAGAATTTAGGAACTCTGAGCGGATTTACCCCTCGATTATAATTTTGCTTTATGATGAACTTTTGGAGCCCTTCTTATTTTATAAAATTTAGGCAGCGATTCCTGAGGAGATCTGAGGAACGCTAAACTGAGAAAAGGTGTGCATTAAATGTGATAAATCGCTTCAATGACACTCAAGGCTTGCTCCATGAATGGCTATAATGAAGCCAATCCTATCGCGAACATTCCACGATCCACGAACATTCACGAAGAGATCAAAGAGAGGAACCTCACCTCTATAGGAAAACTTCAAGCGACCAGTGAAAAACTGTAGCATGAGATGAAATAAAAGAAGGGTCATAAAGCAAAAATTAGCCTAGCCAACGTGGCGCGTGGAATCTAATCAAACCCGTCCAGCTCATTGATAGAAAAGTACGAATCGATGAAATCACGCAAAACGAGCCGTCGATAAAAGTTTGACGAGGGCAACAATTGAACGAGGCCGTTGACCTTAGCGATTATGTGGGATTGCCCAGAAAACACACCAGAATGGAATAATTTTGTCTGTTGAATCAGAAAAAAAGAATATTTTCTGAAAAAGGGAGCGAAGACCCTTGGTTTAAGCGTAATTGAGAGCGGCATCGTTTAAGCGTAATTGAGAGCGGCATCGTCTCTTCCCCTAAAGGAGGCTGAGCCTTGGAGTGCGTTCATACTCGGCGTCAGCGTCTTTAGCGACTAGGAGAGTACAAGTATTGATCTAGCGTTTTGAGCGTATGCCAGTGTTCAAAGTGACTGCCTTCGAAAAGTTCAAACTGCCCGCTAAAACGCTGAAAAAAAATATGAACGCAGCCTTATTAGAACACAGATGAATAGAGTCATCGCGTCCTCGCTTCGCAGAACAAAGAAGGCGTGCTGGGGCGTGCTCTCCCTCTATCCCTTATTCTGCGTTCATACTTTGTGGCTCGGTGTTGTAGGAGGATCAACGTTTTAAGCAGAAAGTAACACAGGTATTGATCAAAGCCTGAAACTAATCCTTCAAAGTGCCAAAAACGCTGATTTTGCCAAAAGATCGACGCCGATCGATACCTATGTTACCCTTTCAAAACGCTGATTCTCCTAAAACGCCGAGTCGCGAAGTGTAAAGCAACCTAAGTTTGCGCATTCGCCAAAGTTTCTTCCAGTTTTCGCTGATTTCTTGCAGAACTTCCGTCGACCGGACAACCTCTCGCTACGAGAGTTTAGAGATATTTTCTCGGTGCATCTCTTGGTCGAGCATTCGAAGGGAGGGAAATGAGGACAAAGAAAGAGAGAAGGGAGGAAAACAGGGAAGAAAGGTGAATGAAGGAAGGAAGAAGCAGGCTTCGCGGTCCACAGATGTCTTGAGACGCTTCATTTAGGAATTTCGCATTAGGGCCGTGAAATGCCATATTAGTATGCACCGCACTTAATTCTTTCGCGTTTCCACATAGAGTAAGGCCCAGGTACCATCCGAATTCATCATACAGTTCCCCACAATGGTAATTTTGTCTTATAGTTACCTAGAGAGATTGGAAACCTCAGTTTAAACACCAGCAGCAGAGTGACTTGAACACCACCAGTTCGACATACTGCGGGATTTGGTGCAATAGTACGTCGGGTCACGATAGTCGCAATTCTGCACATGTGGTCGTAAGAACATCGTTTCCATATCATTTTCCAGTATTTCTTGTGCTGAACAG